ATTTTGCCCCATTTGGGTTAGCTTCATGTGAGACCATGTGTGGTCCATGTGGGTCCACCAACCGTCCTTCCAAAGAACGGACGTTAATTGGCAGATGTGGAGCCCACTATCCTCCCCACTTCCCTAACCAAAAGAGACTTCAAATATTTACCTTTTGTTCTTTCATGTTTTACCTTTTAACTCCATCTCACAATTTGACCCAAACATTATGTGAAAAAGACACCTGCAACAATCTAAGAAAGAGTATTCTTCCGTGACATTCATTTCTTATTACATCATTTATATTTATATATATATATATAAATTTGTGATTTATGCAATAATTAGTTACATTATTTATGTAATATTTTTTTTAGAATTAATTATACTGACACCTCTCAGGTTTGACCAAATATTACATTAAAATACCATTCGAAAATTACTATCATTCACATTATAAATATTTGATCTGTTTTTCACTTACACCCCAAAAATTACTTTTCAGATGTGTCAAATCACTTTTTACATGTAAAAATATATTATTACTCATTTGACCTTTTTTTTTTTTTACTTACTAAAGGGCTGTTTGATGTGTAAAATGACATTTGACACCATTGGACCCATATTCAATGGATATTTTTACATTATATATATAATAATATATATATATATATATATAATTTTATAAGAAATTGAACAAAATTCAGACAATAGATAAATACATAAAGCCAAAAAATAGAGAAATAAAATACAGAAAATAAGTCGCTTAATTATTAATATATATTCACACACACATAGTAGTAAATAAACAGATATATGTAGCACTACATAACCCAAGCTTTGGAGATAGGCTTGTCTTATATTATAAGGCATTAAAAATTTGAGGGTAAGAATGTCATTTCAGACTCATTTTGACAGTGTAAGTGACAGAAAAATGTTTTGGGATGTGAATAGTAGTAATTTTTGAAAGATATTTTAATATGATATTTGGTCAAATTTAAAGAAGTGTTAGTTAAATTAACTCTTATTTTTATGTCTTTGTTGTATTATGTGCGTTGCACTAAGCATATATTAGCCACATTACGATGCAAGTTCTCCTCCTCCTATAAAAATCCTACCTAAATCATCATACACCAGTTGTTATTTGATAATGCAATTTAATGCTTTGAATGAATTATTTATTTATTTAATTAAATACTTTTGATAATACAATTTAAATGTTACCACGTTGAGTATAATTTATCTAACAAAATAAATTTTACTTGAGAAGATAAGCGTTACTTAAATTGAATAAAGTTTTAAGTAATCGTGAGAATAATGAACACTAAAAATTTAACAAAATATATAAATAATAATAATTTTTGTTACCACTTAAAAGACTTTCGTACTTAAAATTCAGTTATTAAAATTTGATTATTTAATTTTCAATTGTTTAAAATTAAATATAAATTTAATTACATTGAATACTTCCACTTTCAAACACTTGATGAACAATCTTTAGCACAAATCTTGTAAAACACAAAAATATGGCCGGCAATTTAATTTTGAAAAAATATTAAAACATCCCAAAGTGTCCATTTAAAAAAAAAAAAGAATTATTTTACAAAGAATAAACATTATACATAGAGTCACAAGTTTGGAATTATCAAATCTAGTGGTAGTGGAAGTGATAGTGATAGTTTATTCTTTAGTTATTTTTACAAAAGTAATATATTAACTTTTAAATTGGACAATTAGAGAGAATTTTGGAATAGCTAAGAATTATTCTACAGAGGGGATAATGACAAAGTAGTGGAATACTAGCACCTATTATACAAGTTTCATTACAATATTCTCATAATTTCATCATCTAAATTATATCGGAATAATTCTTAGTATAAATTTTTTAAATTAATTACAATTCGGTAATAGTCTCACTTAATAATTGTGCATAAATAAAATTTTGTTTATATATAATCAAGTTCACGCTGCATCCAACTTTATTTTAAAATATATGTGTCAATATATTCATATCGTAATAAATTCATATTTTTGTATTAACGTCTAGACTACTTTAGTCACTACTTATATATTATGTAAGAGCGAGAGTACGTGCGAGAGCAAATTCAAAAATAAAAATGCAAAAATTATAAAATTAAATTATAAATAATGAGAATGAAATCATGTGGTAAGTGTAAAAGGGGAAATTAGCTCATCCTCACCTTAATTAATTCTCTTATCACAAGGGTGATTTCATGGTGAAATTACACTTTTTGACTATTAGGTTGGGAAGTGAGATCTAACGGCTAGGAATGGAATTCATGGTAAGAGCATTCTCAGTTTAACGTTTTCAAAAGTTTTGAACTCTAATAGCCACTTGAAAAGAAACTCGTGAATAACATTTCAACTTGAGTACTTTATCCCAATCCAATCATGTCTAACTATTTGGCTATATAAATATGATCAGAAAGTAGTTAGTAAAATGTTGATAGTAAGTATACTTTATTTATAATAAATTTAAATAATATAAATGGAGCATTAGTTGTCATATCTCTATTTTAGGCTATCTTGAACAAAAATTTAATGTGTAATTTAGATAAGGTAGTCATTTTGCTTGGTAAGTTAGTGGTTCTAGTAAATTTTAGAATGTTAAGTTTTGACTCTTTATATTTACTAATTTAACTTCTTTGCTTTGTAGAATTTTTCTCTACGTATATACATATATATTTTCAACCTATTTTGTATATTTTCCTAAATCATAAAAAAAAAATTTATAAAAATTCAATATCATAATCTAAGGTAGACAATTTTTTAAATAGGTGTTACTCTACTTAAGTTTTGTTATTTTTACCTTCGGTTCTCAAATTATTCCGACTCCCATTTTAGATGATATAGAGTACCAAAAATTTCTCAATTCAAACTCAAATTAACTCAATTGTGGAGAGAAGATTTGATGAGGTATATTGTCACAAGGACTGAAAGAGCTAATATTCCCAAAAAAAAAAAACAAGAAAAAAAATGATGAAGCAATGAAATGGGTTCGGGTCGAACCCGACAAATTACAACCATATAGACTCACAACTCACAAGCGGCTATAAATTTACAAGATGGCGTACACGTGTCGAGCTCTGACGGCATTTCGTTGCTTTATCGTACAACGTCACCTACAAGAGTACAGCCGTTGGCAGTCTTTTCAAGAACAAATCGAGCCGCTCGATTTTTGAAACGAGCGGTTGGGATCAGCTTTGCGCTTCCCAAAGATGACGTCACGGGAGACGGTGGACACACAACTCGCGGTACGTAGACGTGTCACGCCGACTTCAAAAGCGGGTCCCACCTGAAGCTTAGGTTTCCGAACAGGGCGGGAGGAAAAGTGGATCAACGTGGACGCTGATGACCTGGTGCTGTCACATAAGGGCCACGTGGACCCCACTTTATGAGTGGACGCCACGTCACTCATAACCCCTAAAAACTGTACTAGTCCATAAAGAGATCTACAAAGTTAGACTTACTACTACCAGGAGTAGACTAGTAGGGTAACTGTCTCTAGAGTTTCCATCATTTCCAAGTCTTTCCCACATTTTACCATATCTTTTCAATTGTCACTGTTTTTTTATTTTTTAAATTATTTTTTATTTTTATTTTTTGATAAATTGCATTCACCTCCTTTTAGTTTAATGAAACTACACAAAATGACAAAAGTGTTTTATTTTTCTTCTTCTCCTTTTATTTATTTTATTGATTGGCATGATTTTTTTAAAAAATACTCTTTATTGATAAAAATTAAGCACTCTATGTGAGAATTTTAACGGAGTTTTGTGTTTTTTTTTCTTTTGGAAAAGGGGTATAAGTGAATCCAATATAACTTAACTACATCAAATTTTAGTTTGTTAGAACTCGGACTTGATTCATTGTAATAAATCAGTCAAGCTTCATGTTATATTCATTTTTAGATTTATTATTATTATTATTATTATTTTGAAAACAAGGGTATAAGTGAATCCAATGTAACCGAACTAAATCGAATTTTAGCTTGTTAGAACTCGGACTTGATTCATTGTAATAAATTAGTCAAGCTTGATGTCATATTCATTTTTAGATCTAGTTTGAATTTGTGTTCGGTTTAGTTTGAGTTCATACATAAGATGGCTCGGCTTGTATAATAACATTATATTTGCAATAATAAATTACAGATACATATTAATCATTATTTTATCCGTCTCAAAATAAGTGTGGATCTTTTTTATTTTTATTATTCTAATTTGAAAAGTCAATGAATAATTTTTTGTAATATATTACCAATTTAATTTTCTTACATTGAACCTATAAAAAGTAAACCGATCATCACTGTGGACCTACTAGAGATAAATTTGATAATTTAGTCACTACTAATACAAAAAAATAATAATAAAATCATCCTCTTGAAAAGTTAAAATTTCCAAAATAAACCCTTATTTTGAAACGGAGGAAGTACATTAACATGATTAAAATAGCCGTATATTAAATAAGTTTGAATTTGAAATCATATAAATTGATATTACAAAATTTAGTATTCACAAAATTACATTAATTGAGCTCAACAAAATTTACAGTTGACTATTTGATAGATTAATTTAAAAATTAGGTTTGAGGTCCACTTATTTATTGCAAATATAATTAAAAGGAGCTTTTTACTTTTTAAGGCAAGAAAAAACTTTCATTTGATAAAATTAAATATAAATATAATCCATATAGATACAATAAATACTATGAACAACCCGATTTACTTGGAGTCCCATAAAAAGTTACGATACCATATTAGAGTAATTTTGTATAGAGGAAAAAAAATCAATTTATTTGGAGTCCCACACATATAGAGATAGGATTCTATATAGTCTCTATTAGAGTAATTTTGAAAAAAAAAAACAACAAAAAAAGAGTATAGTATGTACTTTTACTAACTTCAGGGGAGTTTGTGTAATTTCTCATTTATATAAATTTAAGCGGGACCCACCGGTTTATTCAGACTGTCTTAAATCAGCGGCTGTCCTAGTTCTGTGTTTGAGATATCTATCTCGTTCATTTAAATCTCTCTCTATTTCGTTATTTCATCTCTGAGGCTCCTCTCTCTCTCTCTCAATCAAACTTACTGTCACATAGAGAGTTCGTAGTAATTTTGAACACTCCACCTCAGTCTTGCTTCTCGACTCTGCTTTTCCGGTGATGTGAGTGAAGTTTTTCCGGCGAGATTTGGCCGGAGAATGGCATATATGTGTGCGGACAGTGGAAATCTAATGGCAATCGCTCAACAAGTCATCAAGCAGAAGCAGCAGAGAGAGCAACAGCAACAGCAGCAAGAACAGCTCGTCACTGTCAACCCTTTCTGTCTCAGCCCATGGACCACGACCCACCAGGGTCTGTCTAATAGCCCCACTTTGAGTTACGGACTAACGGGTGCCGGGTTCACGGATCCGTTTCAGGTCGCCGGAGCGGCGGACGCCTCCGGAGAACATGGGTTTCAGTTCCCGAGCTTGGAGCACCACTCCACGGGGTTTAGATTTGCTGATTTTGGTGGTGGGTCTGGTGGCGAGTTTGACTCGGATGAGTGGGTGGAGAGCTTGATGGGCGGTGGAGATTCAACGGAAAGTTCGAATCTTCCTTCTAGTTGCGACGCGTGGCAGAGTAACCCCGAGTTCACTCTCTACGGCGCCGATCCGTTTCCTACTTGCCCGAGTCGACTCAGTATCGCTTCATCTCCGCCAACGGAACTCAACAGAGTGCTCTTTTCAGAAACCCAGAAGAATGTCAACTCTCTGCAACCTCCGAATCAACCCACGTGGGTCCCAACGTCACCGCCTCCCCCACCGCCGATAGCGGTGGCGGATTCTAAGCCCACTCTCCCTACACAGAAGAACGACGTTGCAGGGGGTTCCTCTTCCAGTTCGCCGGAAACAGATTCGTCAAAGCCGTTGCTTAAAGCTTTACTCGATTGTGCCCGAATTGCAGACTCTGAACCAGAAATGGCTGTGAAATCACTGATTTGGCTCAGGGAATCGGTGAGCGACCACGGAGACCCGACTGAGAGAGTGGTTTTCTACTTCACCGAAGCTCTCTATAGCAGAGTCTCTTTCCGAGCAGAGAGAAGACCAACCACCACCACCACCGTCGACGCCATTTCCGATGAACTCACGCTGTCATACAAAGCTCTCAACGACGCTTGTCCGTACTCCAAATTCGCCCATTTGACGGCGAACCAAGCAATCCTCGAAGCCACTGAGAGAGCAACGAAGATTCACATCGTGGATTTTGGGATCGTTCAAGGCGTTCAGTGGGCGGCTCTTCTGCAAGCTCTGGCGACTCGACCCGCCGGAAAACCCACCAAAATCCGGATCTCCGGTATCCCAGCTCCAGCACTGGGTACTTCTCCGGCGCCGGCGTTGTGCGCCACCGGCAATCGGCTCCACGAATTCGCAAAGCTTCTGGGTTTGGATTTCGAGTTCGTTCCGGTTCTTACACCCATCGAGGAGCTAAACGGGTCGAGTTTTCAAGTCGAACCCGATGAGGTATTGGCCGTGAATTTCATGCTTCAGCTCTATAACCTTCTGGACGAGACTAATGTCGGCGTCAAAACAGCTCTGAAACTGGCCAAATCGCTAAACCCAAGCATTGTAACACTCGGCGAGTACGAAGCAAGGTTGAACCGGGTGGGTTTTCTGAACCGATTCAAATCCGCACTGAAATACTACTCAGCTCTATTTGACTCGCTTGAACCCAACTTGACCCGTGACTCGCCGGAGAGACACCAGGTCGAAAAACTCCTCCTCGGCCGGCGAATCGCCCGAGTCATCGGACCGGACGAATCGGGAATCGGAAGAGAACGAATGGAGGACAAAACCCAGTGGAGGGTTCTGATGGAAAGTGCCGGTTTCGAATCGGTCCCACTCAGCCATTACTCAGTGAGTCAAGCTGAAATACTTCTCTGGAACTACAATTACAGTTCATTGTACGCTCTGATTAAATCATCTCCTGGGTTTCTCTCTCTAGCTTGGAACGATGTCTCTCTCCTCTCTGTCTCATCATGGCGTTGATCTGGGTCTGACTAGAAATTGTTGGGTTCCTTTCCACCTGGTCATTTTTCTCCAGTGTGGAATCAACTTTTGTGATTAGGTCTCCGCCATTGATGATCTCTTTTGGAGCTTCTCAATCGGATCTGAGAAAGAAACAATCTTTGGTCTGATTTGATTAAAAGAATACCATTATAGATAGATCTTTTGAATTTCTTTTTCTTTTGGCTACTTTTGTTAACTTTTGCAGCTTGATTTTATATCTATCTGTTTATATGGCTAATCTTTTGGTGTATCAGATTTTGTATATAATTTTGTTGCATTCATGTGTATTTGCTTTTAGTTTTTCTAAATTTTGATCCATATGCAGAGAGGAAATTTAATTTATTGATAGTGGGTGTGAAATTGATTTTCTATTTTTGAGGTATGTCTACGACTTCCTAGTGTTTACTTGCTTGTGCAATTAGTGAAATCAGAATTCTGAGGTAGAAACGTGTCATTGTCTTCCAGGTTCTTTATTTGGTTCTTTACCTAGAATGTGTAGTGTTTTTGTCAAACCTCGTTTGGTCTTGAATTTTTATGATTTATGTTTTTTTTATTTTCGGAAGTTATTTTTATGATTTATGTTGCCACTGAATCTTCTAGCTGCACACGGTTCGGTTTAGTTTGGTTTACGGGGTTTTAGATGAGATTGAACCAAATTGATTCAAACAGTTTTATAAATTGGAACCGAATAAAAATGTTGTGTTTTGTCTAACCTCTTTTGGCCTGAATTTTTCTGTTTTTATGTTGCTATTAAATCTTGTAAGTGCACAAGGTTCGATTTGGTACCGTTTTAGATGAACCAGAACCAAATTGATTCTAACGATTTTAGAAATTGGAACCAAATCGAAATATTGGAACCGAAGCATATTAAAAGCAGTGAAAAGTTGAAAACCCTAAAAGTTCTCTAGCTCTAGCTTTTTGGTATTATGATTGAATGTTGATGTATATTGTCGCATGGAAACCGAACTGAGATGGATTCAGAGATTAACTGATTCTAACGTTTTCAGAAATATTGAAACCGAACTGTTAGAAGCAATGAAACCCTAGAAGCTCTCTAGGTCTTGCCCTTTTTGGTATATAGTTGAATGGTGCTGTATATTGTCACACTTGTTTCTATATAGTCTTATGAGCCTAATTCTTGATTAGCATTTTAACATGCATTAGAAGGATTGCACACGGTCTGGTTTAGTCTAGTTTTGAGATGTATCAAAACCAAATCGATTTTAACCAGAAATATTAAAATCAAATAAAACCCAAATCGATTTTAACAGTTTCAAAAATATTAAAATCGAATAAAACCATTAGAAAGCGGAACCTGAAATTTCTTTATGCTTAATTATTGATGTATATTGTCACTCCTTTCTATATAGTCTTGTAATCCTAATTATTGATTAGCATTTTAGTATGCTATAGACACTTGCACACGTTCTGGTTTAAATCTGAATCTGGTTCTGAGATGAATCACAACCAAATCGATATTAACGGTTTTAGAAATATTAAAACCAAATAGAATGGTTAGAAAGTGGAGCCCTAAAATCTATTTATAGTTGATTATTGCTGTATGTTGTCACAGTCCTTTCTATGAAAGGGGTATATACGGTTTAGTTTAGTTTCGGTTTTGACTTTTGAGATGAATTAGAACCAAATTGATTTCAATTTGTCCAATTTTAAGATGATTCAGAACCAAATTGATTTTGTCTGTTCCAGAAATATTAAAAGAGAATACTTTCATTAGAAAGTGAAACCCTAGAGTTTCTTTAGCCCTATCTGGCATATAGTTGATTGTTGATGTATATTGTCACTCTCATTTCTAATAGTGTTATGAGCCTAGTTCTTGATCAGCATGATATAGAGCTTGAAAGAGGAAAAAAAACGCAAAGAGAAAAGAAAAAAAAAATGTTCCGTGTTGAACCACTTGTCTTGCTTCTGGATTCTTCCTATTAATATGTAATTTGTCAACTTTGAAAGTTTTAAAGTTTCTTTACTTCAAAATTGTGTTCTTTAAATCAGCTTTGATACGAACATTGTTTTTCTAATACTTTATTTCCATCTTTTTACTTTATTTTTTGTTAAAGTGTGTTTAAAAATAAAAAATAAATAGATAAATAAAAGAAGGAAAAAGGAGTTTTAAATCATCATGACTTGTAAAATAAGATGATAGAGTCAAGAATGCATCTACAAGTCCAAAGGACCATTCCCATCTCTCTCTTTCTCTCTCTCTCTGTGTCTGATCATTGATCTTGTCTTTTTTCATGACGGGAAACTTCCTTCTTTCCAGCTTTAATGTAAGACTGTGGACCAGTTTGTTCAATATGTGAAAAACAAAGTGAAAAAAAGCATGACAATCATCCATCAAGAAATTATTATATGGCCCCCAACAAGGGTTTGAAAACTAGGTAATGGAGATGGGAAGAAACCTTGAGGAAAGCGTGCCCTAGGGTTTTCGGGTGATTTGGACGCAATGGTGAAGTCCGTTTGCCGATCTAATAATCGGATGGACTTCATCCCTAAGGAGAATTTGCTATCATCCCTGGTAAGGGGTACCTCCCCAATGCCATTTGAATCTAAATTGCTCACGGGATACCTCCTTATACCCCTCACACCTAGTCACTGGATTGAACTTATTACAACCGGTGGTGATTTGTGTCATTACCCTCCATGTGATCACACAGTGTGACCACAGTGGTAAACAAGGTCAAATTATATTTTAAAAGTCATGTTTGTCGAGAGTAAAAATAATGATAGTGGTTAAATAGTATTTTTATAATTTTGAAACTGTCTTCAATCATTAATAGGAGGAAATTGTTATTCTAGTCTCAATTGGATATGTTTTTGATTTTCGGGGATAAGGAGGAGAAGTTTTCGGGCCGACTTCCAACACCACTGCAACCTCCACCATCAATTCATGAGCCCTAGCCACTGGACCCATTATTGTATGCAAGTGTATAAGTTTTACTTCAACTTTATTTAGCTTTTTGCTTATTTATACGTCAGCTGGGATGATGATTTATTTGAACTTTTTAGTGGCCTATTATGCTATTTGTATATAAATTTTATTTAACTTTTTATTTATTTACATGTCAATTGATGATATTGATGATTGGCTAGAATCGTGTAATAATTTTTTCAAACTTTTTAGTGGGCCATCATACTTTTTCTTTTTTAGGTAAAAAAATGGGGCATTATGTTGCATGTTGTGGACTCGTTCAACAACTTATTTCAAGTAATTCGTTGATGTTTCAAAATAATATTTTAATGTTAATTAACACCTTATTATGAGAGTTATCAAACTAAATTGAGTTTTGAAGTAATTTGTTGACTCCTAAAATAGTATTTAAGTTGTTGAAGGCATTATTAGAACATGTTGTGTACCATATAATTTAGGAAGAAAAAAAAAAGTTGTGTACCACACACACACACACACACATATATATAAACTCATGGTGTTTGCAACGGTAATAATATCAAGAAAGAGTTTAAAAAATTAAAGTCCTTGTGTAGGAATAATTGGCAACCAAAAAGTTAGGATCTCACTTTAACAGTGCCTTCTCATCAACTCTTCAATCTAACATTGTTTTTCAAAATAAATATTACTTGTGTTTTAGAGTCTGTTTGGATAAATACAAAGGATAATAATTGAGTAAATGGTTATTTAATTATGAGAATATTGAATGTAAAACAGAGAACAATGCATGTCTCAATTCTGTTATTTCTTCACAATTCTTTTCATTTGCAGTGATAAGGCTGCTTTATTGTGATTTGATCTCATATTTGAATTCGAAAATCTCTACCTGCAGAGATATGGCTACAACCATATCATGCCCGCAATCCAAACCGGATAGTGTAATAGCAAAACTCTCTCAACTCACATCCTCGACATTGATAGTTTTAAACTTTTTAGAATTAAATTTCAGTTGATCCATGATATATGTTTCATATTTTGTTTCCTTTTTGTTTGTTTCGAGAAATATATTGGTCAATTCCAATTCTTTCTTTTTCTCTTGATTCTTTTTCGATTGAAATGTATGGGTCCATGGATCTATATAGATCATGTTCATGGATTAACGAAAATGTGCAAAAACTCTATTTGCCTCTGCCATTCTACTAGTCACTTTCTTTTTGGGTACAGCATCGCCACTCCCTTTGGCAGCATCCACTAATTTGGAACTTAATTTGGAAGCCATTTTTCGACCTGAACGTTTTCGGGATGTCGCTAATAACCAACGAATAGCAAATGTTTTTCCTTGTGTGATTTTTCCAGTATGTATCCGATGATATATTATGGAATGCTTAAAGAAGTCAAACACGAGAAGTACCTTAATGCTTCTATCATTATGATGAGATGGTATCATAAGCTAATTGAATGTTGACACATGGTGATAGAACTTACTAAATAAATATATTTTTTCTTATATAACAAAATATAATTTGTTAATAACACAAAAATATTGTATCACTAAAGTAGGGAAGACTATCTTGTCACACGCACAATAAAAAAAATTAAAACAAAAAACATTATTGACTTCCAAAATAAAAAATCGACTTCATTAAAACCAAGTTTGAATTTGACGAAGCAAAAAACAAGTATACCAAATTTATTTGAATGTTAAGTAAACATATGGTTAACTTGTGAAAATCTACAATACTTCATGGGGATTGTACCTTTAAGATTTTTAACCGTTGGATGCAATGATAAGATTTACCAAATCAATAATCGATCGGTCGAAAAATTCCGGAGTGCGGTACCATCGAAGTATAGTAAACTTTCTTGGTTGATGTCTCTTATAACCAAATGGTAGGTTTTTGGATTTGGGATCAAATAGATGAAGGTGTCCACGTCATTTGTTATAGTCTGTAGATTAGATCTTAATGGTTTAGATTTGGTACCAGCCCACTTTCATAGATTTGATTTTGAAAGTGACTAAAGTGCAACATGCTTTGGCAGCCCAATATTGACACAAATCAGATTAATAGACTGACATCTAAATCTCAGTTTTCAAATATCTTAATTGTATGATTCAATTGAAGACATCATTAAAAGCAAATTATTGTTAAGAAAAGAATTATATATTTATTTTTTTGAAAATTCACTAGACCTCTAAAAGGGAGACATAGTATCATTTAGACTAACGAAGAATGCTCGCCTCAGGTCATATAAGTAAAAATTTTCTTCTTATAATGAGGTGGTTCAATAAAATATAAAAAGGTGTTAAAATTGTAAAGAAAAGAAAATAATGACTACAAGAAATA